AAAAATAAGTCTACTAGAGATTGTGGTAACAGCCTCCTTTGTTTTCTTCCTTTATTCAGAGAGAAAACTTAAAAGATTTTTTTCAGTATTATCGTGATATTGTTGCTGGATTTTGTAAATGTGCTTTATCAGGTTATGGAAATTCTCCTGTTACTAGTTTGTTTTTTTTTTAATTTAGATTGGTAAATAAGTTTTACCTGATGCTTTCATTGGTGTTTAATGTTATGATCACATATGTTTTCTCCTGATTCAGTCATGATGCAATTATACTGACAAAGTTTTGAATTTCAAATTTCAAAGGACCATTCATTCATGGACCAAATTCAATGTATTCATAATGAATTGTTGTTTGTATATATTATTCAAAATATTTTATTTAAGATTTAGGCATAGCCATAAAAATGAGAGATTGACCTAAGTTTAAAGAGTATTTCTTCTTTTGTCTAATCTTGGCAGAATTTTTATAAGATTCATGTTGTTTTCTTCACTGTAAAGTTTCAAAGAATTCACCAGAGAAATGCATTGGTCTTCTTAAGGAAATTTAATGATATTCAATTTCTTCATTGGTTATAGGACCATATAAAACTTCTGTCCTTTTTCATCACTTTTAATGAGCTGTGGGTTACTCTTTTTTTGAAGTTTTTCAATTTACTGAGATACCTAATTCAAAATCTCCTTATCTTATTTAGATCTGAATGTGACAAAATTGAAAGAGCAATAAAGTAGAGCTATATCCAGCGTTAATCCTAGGAAATGCTTTTTTATCCAATTCCTTTAAATTTCCCCACAATTAGTTTTTTTCTGTGCTTTTGTATTTATGCCTCATCATTTAAGTGTGATTTAATATATATATAAAATGCCTCTATAAAAGGTGATCATTATTTCCAGGTTATCAAGGCAAATCACTAATAATTTACAGATATTTGGACCTATGGTTTTGACTCCAGCTTTTACCTAAACTGATTAATTAACACTTTGATAGAAAAAAAGTAAAATAATCATATATTTATTGAAAAAGTATGAAATAATATTTAAAATTAATTTCTCAATTATTTCAAGTGATGATGGAGATCTTTGCTTGCATGTCACAGAAAACAGGAGACAAAGGATGTCATCTATATCATTTGAAGTTAACATCAAAGAGGAATCCTTTGAAATAATAACAGGAACAGAATTAAAGTATATATAGATAGTTTCTAAAGATTCTGTTGCTTCCTGTAATCTAGTAATTGGATAGACATCAGCATTATTATTTCTCCAACATTAAAAAATTAATGATTCAAAATGTAAACAGAGTAACTTCTGAAGTAAAAAGGTCCCATTATGATTGACCACTGAAGGGTAGATTGCATGAGGCACAATGACATAAGTCCAAGTGCCGACTTACTCCCCCCGCCTTAAAGCAATTTTACAGGCAGTGTTAGTCACACGTATAAACTGTTGACACATATTTTTCTGCTGACCAATCATTTAATTATAGAGAAGCCCACCATTAATCATCATTCTAATCATAATATAAAATAAAAGCAGGGTGAAAATTCAGTGGCTTTATTCAGAATATGGAAACAATATTCCTTATAATATTAAGGAAACTATAAAGCACACCTAGATCTCATCACACTTACAAGCTGCATCAGTAAATGTAACTGCTCTGTGTCATGGCAATTACTTTAAATCATTTAGCTTTCAGTCTGTAGGAGGGTTTTTTTTTTTTTTTAACAGTATCAGACCATTAAATGTGCTGACCAGTGTTGTCAGTGCATTTTCCTTTCCTCCTGAAGCTCATGACAGTGAAAGCATTTCTGCAGAGTCTATACAAAGTCACAAACAAAGTCACCGGGCTGGAGCTTGTCACCCAATAATAGACTCCGTCATTTATGAGTTCCCACTTCATGGCACTCCTGAAATGCTTTCAGCTGAACCATTACTGAGCAACCTGAATCGTGGGGATAAATCTGCCAGTGCGTTCTGCATACAATGACAGATCATCTAAGGGTGAAAGAGTCTCCTGAAAAGAGAGCCACTTCTGTCACTCCTCCCCTCTGCCTATGTATATGCATGCCTGAGTAGGACGAAACTCAGCTTCCTCACAGTATTTATTGGAAGCTGTTACTCCATTGCATTTTTCACTCACAGTTTGACAATTCACAGTGTAGTTGCTGCAGCGAACACATACTTTTCTTCTGTTGTAACTGCTGTCAGTAAAGGAGAGTTAATTTCCTTCTTGCTGAGTCTCAATTTGAGCATCTATGTGCCAGGCATTCTGCATTCATTATTTCATTTCGTTCTGGTGGCAGCCCTATGAAATGGATATTATTATCTCCCTTTTTAAAAATATCTAGGTCACAAACCTAGTAAGTGGTGTAACAACTGTTCAGCTCTGGTTTTCTCTAATTCCAAACTCTCTGCCCTTTTAATGGGCTGTGTCTCTGGTGTTTGTGCACATAATGTATTATTAGCATTGTATTCTTTTTATTTTTGTAAATCATGAAATATACAGAGATGTACAATTAAATCATCATTGTAAACCAAACAATATATTCAGAAGTCAGCTTAATACTTTAAAAGCCCTGTTTGTTCCCTGTCAACTTCATTCACCCAGGAGTAATAACCACTTATTCCAAATTATGTGTCGTTAAATCTGTTTCTTTAGAGTTTTACTATCCATCTAATACACACACACACACACACACACACACACACACACACGCACGCACAATTATTTAGTTTTTATTGCATTTTCAATTTCTGTTAATGAAATTATTGTATATTCTTTTGGGGCTTGCTATTTTCAGGTAATGTTACGCTTTTGAGATTCATCCAATTTGATACATGAAGCTACAGTTTGTTCCACTGTTGATGGACATTTGGGTGGTTTCCAGTGTTTTACTATTATGAACAGGGCTGCTAGGAAAACTCTGATTTCATGTCTGCAGAAGCACATGTGCAATACTGTCTCAAGGGTATATAAAGTAGTGGGATTGCTGGGTCCTAAAATATGCACATGCCCATTTTGTCAAGTACGGCCAAGGTATCTTCCAAACTGGCTGCACCAATTTTCAATAAGATAAGCAGTTGTAGGCAGTTAATTGAAGGTGCCCTTTGCTCCGTATCTTTGCCAGGATTTGGTTTATCCAACTTTGGAATGTTTACCAGATTGGTCACTGTGGTTTGGATTCACATTTCTCTCTAATGTCCTTTTATTATTCATGTTTCATCTAGGAAATCTTTATTTATATATTTTTACCATTTTAAAGTTTTGCTAGTGGTCTTTTTCTTATACACATGCACACACACATTTACTCACTCACTTACGTATCATGAATATTCTCTCAGGATAGTAAGTCTTTGTGAGTTATATTTGTGGAAAATATTTTCCACTTTGGCCTATTATTTCATTTCTAATATCTATAGACCAAGAAAAATTCTTAAATTTACTGAATTATTGTGTAGAAAAATTAGCAGTTACTGATTCGGATTCTCTGCAGTTAAATTCCATTTAAATTACATCTTAGTCAAATTATTCAGGGAATTTATCCACTTAATAAGTTTTCAAAACTATTAGCATACAAATATTCAATTTTAGCATCTAGTATTTAATACTTTTGTATTTTTATTTATATCTTATTCCTATTACAGTTCATTTGTATATTCTCTTTTTTGATCTTTATTTATCTGGCCAAAGTTTGTCCATTTGTCTCAAATGTAACCCAGGCATTCCTAAATCAATATATCATTTTAAAATAAAAAGCCTTAGATATTTGAAATTACTCACCAATAGATATAATAAGAAAAATGTCTAGAAAACTAAAATTTATAAGATCCTAGTTTCACATTTAAATTAAAAAAACAAAAAACATAAGTAATTATAAACTTTGGTTTATAATTTCATAAACGAGAAGTTTATACTTCTAAAGATTGAGACATAAATATACAGTAAAAATTAAAGCTTTAGCTTAAAATAGTGAATGCTCAATTGCTATTGTAGGTAAAAGATATTATCACATGGTTTTGCTTTAGAGTTGTACCTCCAGCTCAAGGCCTACTTTTTTTTTTTTTACTTGAAGTACAGTTACAATGTGTCAGTTTCTGGTGTACAGCACAATGTCCCAGTCATGCATATACATGCATATATTCCTTTTCATATTCTTTTTCATTAAAGATTATTACAAGATAGTGAACATAGTTCCCTGTGCTATACTGAAGCAACTTTTTTTAAAATCTGTTTTTATATATACTGGCTAACATTTGTAAATCTCAAACTCCCAAATTTATCCCTTCCCACCTCCTTTCCCTGGTAAACATGAGATGTGTACTATGTCTTTGTGTCTATTTCTGTTTTGTAGATGAGTTCAGAGTGTCCTTTTTTTTTTTAGACTCTCCATATGTGTGACAGTATATGGTATTTTTCTTTCTCTTTCTGGCTTACTTCAGTTAGAATGATGGTCTGCAGGTCCATCCATGTTGCTGCAAATGGATTACTCTTATTTTTCTAAGATATGAAAAAAGGGGGATACTTACGAGTCAGCCATTCCTTTAAGCCATTGAAACTCATCATGGTGGCAGTAAGTGTAATGTTTACTAATGGAAAATGTCATGACTGCTATAAAGCAAGTCATTTCATTCCAAATTTAAGAGGCATAAATATTGTACCAATACATAGAACCTTTTTTTTTAAAACAACACTTTTATGGTATACATCTTGTAATAAAATTTTGAATCCTTTTTAAAGAAGGAAGAGGCATATGATTTCCATTTTTTTAAGTACAATTTTATATAAGTATACTTGCAGGAAATTGCAGTTACTAAATGATAATGAGCAACATGTTGTGGTGTATTAACTCAGGAAATCATTGCTTCTTCAGGAAAGTATACATGTCTTTAAATATTTAAATATTAGTAGAATAGTGGTGAGCGAGTAAAGATTGAATTGCTTTGAAATGGCAGAAAAAGCTACTTGACATTCATATTGCAAGGGTGAATATTTTGGGTTATTAAAGAAATATTTCATCTTTTGCTATCCTTAGTTAAAAATTGTACATTGACCCCCCTAGTAAAAATTATACCATAGAGAAACTGAGATCATAGAGTTTCATACATAATGCAGAATTTTTCAATGCCCCTTACATAATATTTCCAATAACCCTTCAATATGTTTGTTGCCATAAGGTGGAAGGAGGATACAGCAAGAAGAAAAACAAGAAAGATGACTGTCCTTTCTGACCTGGAGAAACTGAAGGAGACAGAGTGAACTATGAGAGGTCGTTTCTCATACTTCTGCTACCTCAAAATGAAAGTGCAAGGTGGGACTTGGAGTTTTAGGAGAGGCCTCAAACAAGTAGAGAAACCTGAAGCTGCGTATCAGGAGCCTGAGTAACAGAGCATCCAGGAGGGCGGATTCATTGTAGAGAGACGGTAATGTTCGGCAAAGGAAATGATAGCCTGTTGACCTTGAAGCAGCACAGTTGTACCATTTGACCTGTACATTGTTTAGTGGATCTAGCATTTTCTTTAATTCCTGCTTGTGGACAAATACCAGAGCCCCAATGAATGGCAAAAGCTAAAATATTGGAATCGAACAGTCACTAGCAATGAAGTCTTCAGTGCAGTGAGCTATAGGTTTTGGTGGTAGCGTTGCACAGCTTAAGCCAGGTGGAATTAGTTATACCAAAAAGCTCCCCAATCAAGGGACAAGCACAGATCCTCATATGAAAGCAGGGAGAATTTAGCGGTTACAGCTGGGATCTCAGGAGTCCTGCCTTCTCCCTGCAAAATGGAAGGTCACATAAGCCACAGCTTTAATCTCACTTGTATTTGGAACATTATGTAAAAGTAAAATTAGAGGCTAAGCATTAATATAGATGATATTCCAAGATAATCACACTGAGCTAAATTTATCAGTGTCGAAGATAAACTAATGCCCCACCCAAAGATGTACCTGTCCCAATTCCCAGAACAGATGGAAATGTTACATTACATGGTAAAGAGGAATTTAAGTTGTTGTTGGAATTGTTTACTGTCAGCCGCTGGAGGCTGGAGAGGGATCCGAGGAGGTGAACTGCCCAACTGGAAGAAGGCGCAAGGAGCCGACATAGAGCAAAACAGCACTTTATTGCAGTACAAGCGGGTGGCGCACGCGCTAAGGTGTACGCACTTGTCCGTTCATTATGCCCGCGCATGAGTATTGTTCATAATGCTGACTCATGCTACTTGCGCATGCGTACATTTACTTCTTACCTCATACACATGCAAGTTATTGTGAACTTTGACCTGGGTCCCATAGCCTACTCACTTAAGACTGCTGACATTTACTAATCATTGACCTTCAAGAAGGGAGACCGGCTTAAATGATCCACGTGTGTCCAATTAAATCACAAGAGTTTTTCAAAGTGAATGTGGGCGGCAGAAGAAGTCAGACCAATGTGAGATGGGAAGAGCTCCGTCAGTTATAAAACGTCTCTCCTGCAGAATCTCCAGAAAGGAACACAGGCTTGCCAGTACCTTGGTTTTAGCCCAGGAAAACGTCCAACCTACAGGACAGTAAGAAAGTAAGTTCGTGTTGTAGTAATTTGTTACAGCAGCCATAGAAAACTAAAACAATGAGTTAAAACAAAGTTTTGCTGATGTTTTTGTTTATTTGCTGTTTTTTTCTCTCTATTCAGTGGTGGAGAGTTTGGGGGGGAAAATCAACTCAGTTATAAAGTAGTAGAAAGAAATGTGGTGTGAATATACTTGCAACTCCACCAAGCAGTTCTCAGAGATTGAGCAGTGACTGAATTTACATTTTCTGATAACTCCTTTCAAGTGGCTAGTGTAATTTGAGTTTTTTCGTACAACTTTTTATAAATGATATATTTCATTTGTTCCCTTCAGAATCTACCCACTCTGTAAGTTTTACTTATATTATCTTTATCTCCAGGCTTTTGTTTTTTTTTAAACCTTAAAAGCAGTTTCTTACTGATCTTGGGTATCCAGCTAGTTTCTGAAATTCATTTTCTCTGATACTGAGCAAATTGCATTCTTTTCCAACCTGTTTCGCACCTATGTGTACTCTTAATCTTTGTTATTGTCTTCATTATTTACCCAGCCATTGAATTTAAAACTTTGGGGACATCCTTTACTGATAACTTCTTTCATGTCCCTCTGGTCTCCAAGCCTTTTGAATCGGGCTTTATTCTTTCTTTCACCTTTGCCACAGTCTTATTTTTATAATTTCTCCCCTGGACTATTGCAATAACATCGTAGTTAGTTAATTTCAACGTTGCCATTCTATTTCCCAACTAGACATTTTCATGCTCCTGTGAAACTCTCCTTTTAAAAAACTGTTTTTGACATTAATTTGTCAGAAGTTGCATGTTATTTCTGCTCCCTATTGACCCCAAGCTACACTCTATAAGTTACCTAATTGTGATCTACTCATACTAATTTTTTGACTGTCCTGTATAATAAAGAGCTTGGAAAACTTCATGTGCCAAATAATATATATAAACAAATAAATGTCAAAATAGTTGAAGCCAGCAGTTTCGGCAGTAATGGATCAGCGAAATTATATGGTCTTTGCTGGTAATCCACTGACAGGAAAGGAAAGGAATTTTGTTATCTCCTGGGGCTGAAATTGCTTTAATCACCATCAACTGCTTGATTAGTACATCCAGTTTTTTTTTTTGACAAACTCAAATCTGATCTATGCATTAAAAGACTGATATAATTATTTGAAAGGCTGTTGTTAATTAACCTACGACCAAGGAGATTAAAATTAGTACTAAAAGAATATACCTTCTGTCCAATGACTTCTCTTTATGGATAATTTTTTAGCATTTTACTTGAAAGCACTCAGTTTATTCAGTCTTTGAATACAGAGACTGATACGATCTACTGATTATAAAATTATCAAAATTCTTAAATTGATGTTAATTCACCTTTAAAAGAATTTTCCCTAGGGTAAAAATGTATGAAACGTATAAGAACGCAATTCACCATGTGTTTCTGTCCTTAATCATTGTTCCCCACCTCATTATTCCTAAGGGACCATTATTTTTCCCTCTCCAAATTGACTTTTTTTTTTTCATTTGCTATTACTGCTATTTGTTTCATGTTTGATTAGTGTAACTATTTTTATTTTTAATTATGGCACACTGCCTTGCATGGAACCTGGTCAAACTGGCACTCACTCAGATATTAAATGGATTCTCCCTCAGCTCTTTGTGAGGGCTAGAAAAACACAAGGGTATTATAAAATTGTTGCCTTGTTACAAAACCTCTCCTTTTATAAATTAGAGTATTTCAAGAAGTATTATACTATCTTTCATATTCCTTTACTAAGCATCGACATTAATATAAAGTAGTATTTAAAAGGCACATGCTGGTGATGAAAAAGCTGAGGTTTATAATGGAAATGTAAGTTTTCTAGGTCATTCTGCATATGCTTTCTTGAAAATGGAAAAGAGAAGTGTTTCTACTTAGGGAATTTGGAGATTCCACCCTTTTGTGAGGTGCTTGTGAAGATGACAAAAGACACCTACATTTATGCTTAAGTTGGGATGATGCTATGTATCAGTGAAATGAGCTAGTTTGGACTGAAAATATCTAGACCCTTTTAAGGTTCTGTACATTAGGTAAAACCTAACACAATTGAGTTTCCATGGAAAATGCTAATAAAGTAGTAAATTCAAAGGAGAAGAGTTTGAAATTCTGGGTTTTTCATTTTTATTAAGGTGCTTAGCTCTCGTGCATTTTTAAGAAACTTTTTGCTATGCTATCTTAGCCTTAGAAAACTCTCTCTTGATTGAGAAATAATGTTTTGTTATTTATTTAGCCTTATTATAAGCCAACACCTCTCAAAATGTTAGGTCATTCAGTTGCCAATGAAGATGTAGAAACTAACAAACTTTATTGATTTACCCCAGTCCCCAAATCTAGGAAGGAGCAGAATTAGTCTTCAAGACTAGTTTTCCCAACTACAGATCTGTAATCTTTTCACTACAAAACATGATGTGTTAGTTTCCTAGGGCTGCCAAACAGAGTGCTACAAACTATGTGCCTTAAACAAGAGGAATGCTTTCTTCCACAGCTCTGGAGGCTGGAAGTCCAAGATGAAGTTGTCAACAGAGTTGGTTCCTTCTGAGGGTTGTGAGGGAAAAACTCTTCCATGCCTCTTTCCTAGATTCTGGTGGTTTGCTGGGAATTTTTGATTCAGGTCCCTGCCCTTATCATCATGTAGCATTCTCCCTATGTGCATGTATGTCTCTGTGCCCAAATTTCCCCCCAGTTAAGGATTCTAATTAAACTGGATTAGAGCTGTTAAATAAAAACTGCACCAGAAAAGATGAACAGTCAAAGAAGATTTTATTCAAGAATATCACAAGGTCTCCAGACTATTATAATAAAGAGATTGAACCCAACTCTGCTGAGACAAATGGCAAGAAAATTTTTAAGCTCTAGGGTGAGCTAATGGAAAAGTACTAGAGGATGTTAGTGGGGAGTTTGGCGACTAGGGTTAGGCCAATTGTGTTTGCTGATTAGTTCTTATTGAAGTTGGGCTCCTACCCTCTCACAGAGATTAGGAGAAAGGGACTCTCTTCATGATGACCTTTCAAAGGGATGGCTCCCAGGTCCTTGAGAAAGACGTTTCTGAGTTATAAAACTGGCAACAGTCTGGGAGAAGATTTACATAATAAAGGGGCAGAGAAAGAATTTACAATTGCAAGTGTTTTTTGATGCTCTAAAAAGAGGGAGATGAGGGCCCAGAGTCTGGAAGAAGCCTGTTTAAAGCTTAATCAGGCTAAGCAGAACTATTAAGGCCCCTCAGTGAGAGCTCAGCCTAATGACATCTTTTTAACTTTATTCCCAACATAAAGACCCTCTTTCCAAATACCCTTACATTGAGTTTTTAAGATTAGAACTTCAACATATTTGGGAAGGAACACTGTTCAGCTCAAAACATGTAGATATGTAACTCACCAATAACTGAAAAAAGAAATATTTCTAAAATATTTCTGATTCTTGAAGTATGATTGTTTTAATTGGTCAATCTGAAAAGTTTAATATAAAAGTATAAATTCTATTGTCAAATTAAACGTGATTTTTGAAGCCTTCTGATGTGTATAAGTAGAAGTTTTATGAAAAGAGTAATAACCATGCAATAATGTCAGGTGAGTATTTACCCATTACATCTTAGATATCAAAAATAAGCTGTATAAAAGACAATAATTTAGGAAAAACATAAAATGTTGGGTGTATTAAAATATAAGAATATTTTTCTATAATAAACTTAGCCAAACTTTTTAAGGTGAATACAAGCAAAATAACTATATAAGTATATGAAAAACTAATTATATTTATGATTGTTAAAAAATTCAACTAAATTATTTCTAAAACCATCAGATTTCTAGGCCTAATAGAAATTTCAATTCAAAAGTTATGTGTATAAGATTTGTAATGTGTATGTAACCATATCCCCATGTGATTATTATTGGAGTTTTGAACAAAGCAAAATTCAAAGCCCTTTAAAAAGATAAAAACACATGCAAAAGGAAAATTGTATTTTTTAAATGGTAAGAAAATGGATCAACATTTGGAGAAGTTTATTTCTACAAAAAAATCATGAATTCATTCATATCAAATATTGCTGAAGCTAGCTTGGATATTTGAAAAATAGCTATATCATGCAGTAGGAAACCATGAGATTTTGTAAAGAATGATGGTCTTTGGGTCTGAGTTAGTGTAACCTTGAAAAATCCTTTCCATCCAATGTATGTATTAAGTACTTAAAATATGATAAGCATGAAAACCCAAGTACTGTCACCTCTTCCTAGCCACAGTCTTTGGCTTTGCTTGGTAGGTAATTTAGAACCTGGCAGCTTTTCCATAGGTAGAAGCAGAGTAGTAATGAGTAATAACTTATATATCTGTGCATAGTTCTAGATTACTGGCTGTTATAATTACTGTAAGATATATGTTTGTGAACTTATTTTGGAGTATATATGTATGTAGAATACAAACCTATCCTCTGAAGTTGATAATTCAATGGTACAAACCCAAGGAGTGGTACAAATCCCTCAGCTCAGAAAATGAACTTGAGTTGGTGGTCCCTAAATTGGAAATAACATGAAATCAGTGTCTTATTTCTTGGGGGCTAGTTTCACTGTGGTGGTAAGAAGATGGAGTTAGACATATGAAGATGGACTGAAAACTAAGAAATAAGCAAGACAAGGAGTGTGCAAAGTTGTACCACTCCTGAGGCCTCAGCAGGTTAATCATATTTTTTTCTTGGACTTTCAAAGCATAGAATAGCATTGAAACTACAATCCAAGTTATAAGCGTATCATTTTTATAATAAAGGCATGCTACCGTAAATTGAGCATTTTATAGTGAAATTCATGAAACAATAAAATAATAAAAAGGACACTGAGGAAAAATTACCTTAATATCAGTGAAAGACTCGTAGAATCATGTAACATATTTAAAGTAAACACATAAATTCCATTTTCATTCCCTCCACACACTTACATTTTTGCTTAACATACTGAGCTCTCAAACATATAATATTTATAATGCCTTTGTCATGTCTTCCCCTCATCTTTATTCTAAAAGTTATATTAAAAGTTTCATCAAATACTGTAGCCTTATGTAACTTATCATCAATAATAACGGCAAATGTTTATTGAATGCTTATGTAAAAGATAGCATTATAAAGATTTTCTATTTTTTATTGAAGTATAGTCGGTTTACAGTGTTAATTTTGTAGTACAGAGTAGTGATTCAGTTACACATATATATTCCTTTTTATATTCTTTTTCATTACAGGCTATTACAAGGTATTGAATATAATTCCCTGTGATATACAGTTGGACCTCATTATTTATATTATGTTTAATTTGTAGTATTTTGTATAGCTCCTCATAAATGAAGAAAATGACACATGGAGAATTTGAATGTCTTTCTCAAGGTCAAGCATCTGGTTAATGTCATAAGATTAAGAGCCAGGTAATCTGGTTTGTTCTATCAGGGATCCTTAAATTTATGGTGTTTAATGTTCACAAGTATAACACACACACACACACACACACATAGATACATACATACATATACATATACATGTATATAAACATACATATTGTGAAAAACACAACAGCCCACATTTTAGGCAGGTGAATCAGTAGTACAAAAACTTTTAATCTTGATGATTCTTAACACTATATCAACTTATTACAGGCCTCTAAGCTGTTCTGTGTATAATTCTGACTTACTATTTGCAACTACATGTTTCCCTCAATGAGGAATAGTATATATAAAGTATAATAGCAGTATATTAGCAGTACATGGGGGAGGCAATATTTCAGAGGTAATTATATATCACCTGAAAGTTATGTTGACATCTAATTTATTTGCCGTACTATGCAAGATATATTTTTAGTGTCTCAAGATGATTCCCCATTCTTTATGGAATTCATCAGTAAGACTGATTCTGTTACCTTCTGGCATTTTTTTCTAGTTTTGACCAATGGGGAGCAGCAGATGGCTCTAGGCGGGAATGAGAATGGTAAGTCTCGATATTTACTTGACTTACTACCTATGGCGTTACTACAGGCAGATTACTGCCTAGATCCAGGAACACAGCTTAGGTCGGTCTGTTGTTTAGATGCCGTTCATTACTGTGTGCCAGTCATGTCTCTCCTACTTGTCTCTTGAGAGCCATGAGTGTTAAAAGCCCTGCTTTTGCTAGCCCCAAACTACTGCACCATCTTTGTGGTTTTTCTACATCCCGGCTTCATCTTTTAAATTTTCTCTTTATTAAACACTTCCAAATTACAGAATTTCCACTTGCCATCTGTTTCCTGTAGGACTCCTGCCCGATACCCACACTATAATTGAAAATAAGTTAATTATGGAACCACTTTTATTTTCCTTGAGTCATACGTTGAAAGCATTCACTCTTCTGCTCCTGTATTATCCATAATTGTATACTTTCATTCATTTCACTGCATAATAGATTGGATTAATATTGAACAAATGGTCAATCTTCTCCCCCACCACAATAATCCTCCTTTGGGTAACGTCTACCTCCATGCATAGTATATAGCCTGCTACTTGGGCTTAATCATTGTAATAAGATTTAGCCAGTGAAGGATCAACAGATGTGATGAAACCAGAGCTTCTAAATATTTAAGAGGGTTTACCTATTCTCCTGTGTGTGTGTGTTAAGAACATGTCATAAGTGTCAAGGTGATCTGAATACTATCTAGTACCTATCAAATTGGTTTAGTAATTTAAAATGTTTATTGTATAGTCATTGCCTTAGAGTGTTTATTACTATGCTGGATTTTTGATCTATAGTGAAGATTAGAAAATGGTCTTTGCTTTGAAAGAGTATCCGATCCATTCTGTAAGAGTTACATGAGCAGTTCTATGTAATTCAGTATAACAGATTTAGTAAATGAATATGAATTATAAAAGCACAGAACAATGCACTAATCCCTTAATATTGGCACAATACTAATCTGATTTGAATGGCATATTTCTTGTTGGACTCAACTTTGCAATCCTTATATCTTCTTTAAAAATGACATCAATAAATTGCTTTACCTTTGCAACTTCTCAATCTTCCTCAATAGATTTATGTATTCTAAGTTATAATAAAAACTGTGCAGTCAGCTTTGAAATACCTAAGATATAAGTAGACCAATCACAGTCCCTAATGATTTGAACTCTCACCATCTTGGTCTTTAGTTTTAGTGGAATAAATGTATTCTCTCTTGTCTGGGATTAATAAGCATTTATTTTATGACCCCTAGCCCTTTCTCTGTATTTCTTTACAAATCTTACATAAATTTCTTCAGCAAATATTTATTGGTATTACTGTGCTAGACAACAAGTCTATAAAAGTTTACAAAACAAATATAATGTAGTTCATATTCTACTAGGGGAAACCAACGTTAAAATATAATACAAGCATCTTTTGATTACACTTGTGAAAATTAAATAGAAACCAGTTTACTTTTCACATTTCTTTATTCTATTTTCATTGTGTATAGGGCTCCATTTCTTCATTATACAAGTTTGTTCTTATTTTCTGTCATAAGCAAACTATTCATTTACTGCAAAGGAAAAAAATAAAAAATAAAACAAATGACACTTTACTTTCCTGTCTCTGTGCTTCCCTTCAAACCACTCATCAGACTTGCTGACTCTGATCACCTTCTGTGCCTAATTCATTGGACCTCTTTTTTTCTCCAACACTCCCTGGAAATCACTCTTACTAAAGCAACCTATGGTCTATGATTTTCTGTCTGTGAGCACTGTGATCTTTAGAATTTAGGTTGCATATAATTTCTGCGTATTAAATATAATTCCATCTTCTTGTTTCTAACTGAAGAAATCATAATAGAATCAAAGCACAAGAGAGAAAATTGTAACAGATAGTTCAAATCAGCTGTAAATTCTATTTGAAAATGAAGTTGCAAAATTACAGTAGAAAAACAATGACTTAAGGAAAAGAATGCATTACCCTTTGCCAAATACTCAGAACACTTCATGAAATAATCTTCCTTTTGAATTCTACTTTAACTATCACTGTCATTTATAACATGTTACCATTAACTCCTGGAAAAAATTCACTCTCATGAGGGGTGTGTGTGTGTGCGCACGCGTGCATGTTGTGTATCACAGTAGCTGTCACCTTTAATAGTGAATAGCTGCATAAACTTTAGTTTTGCATCTCATAATAGCATAGCTACGAATTTATAAAGGATGTTTAACAGTTAATGTTTTTATCTGAGAATGGAAATTAAAATATGTCAATCACCTCTATTGAAGCAAGGCTAAGAATAAGCTCTCAAAAATGGCGATTTTTTTGTACAGTGATTAGGTTTTTGCAATATGATTATGAAGAATATTTTTAAATACCTCTAAACTGATGTTTTTTTCTGGAAATGTTTTGTTTTTATTTCACTGATAGCTTGCCCTCATTTAGAACTTTGACTCTAGGGTCCCAGGGAAAGTTATGCTAGTTGCACTTCAAATAAAAGAAAGAAAATTAACCATTATTTTTAGTAGGGAGTGAAATTGAGAATTGAGGGGATAGTAAATCTTATTTCCCTTAAGGAAACTATTGCACATCTACTGAGAGAGTCCCAGGGACAGGGATATGGTCAAATACAGATACAGTCAGCCCTCCACATCTGTGGGCTCTGCATCCACAAATTCAACCAAACACTGATTGAAATTTTTTTTTAATTTCAGAAAGTTCCAGAAAGTAAAATTTGAATTTGCTGTACACTAGACCATTGACGTAGCATTTACTTTGTGTTAGGTATTATAAGTAATGTAGAGATGATTTAAAGTATACAGACAGGTACACATAGGTTGTATGCAAATATTAAACCATTTTATACAAGGGACTGGAGCATCTGCAAGTTTTGATATCTGGGGGTGGGTCCCGGAACTAATCCCTCCTAGATACATAGTACTTAATGCAGAGTAAAGTGAAATCTCAAAAGAGTGAATGCTTTCCCTATTAGTCCTTTAAAACTCTTCAGGGAAATAATGAATCAATATATGTATGTTATGTTTATAAAAATAATAAAAATGATGGCAAAGCACGTACAGAAGTTAATCACTTGAACTGGCTATATATCATGTTTAGAAAGAGATGTAGTAAGTTTAGGAAGATAAGCAATCAAATACTCTTTCTGAACTAACACTTTTTTCCCACATTTCAATTTTTGTAAACGTTATAATTGACATACATTTCATGTGTACAACATGAATCAATATTGGTATACATTTTGAAATGATCACCACAATAAGTCAGATAACATCTATCACCTTACATAGTTACACATTTTTTCCTGTGATGAGAACTTCAAGATCTACTTTTTTTTTAGCAACTTTCAAATATATAACACAGTATTAACTGTAATCACTAATGTTGTACATTATATCCCATGACTTATTTTATAATTGAAAGTTTGTGTCTTTTGACCTACTTCACTCATTTCTCCCACCTCCATCCCCTGCCTCTGGCAACCATCAATTTGTTCTCATTATTTATGAGCTTAGTTGTTTGTTTTTGTTTGTTAGTATACATATAACTGAGATCATTTGGTATTTGTTTTTCTCTGACTTACTTTACTTGGCATAATACCCTTGAGGTCCATCCATGTTGGCACAAATGAGAAGATTTTATTCTTCTTTATTACTGAATATATTCCATTTATAAATATACTACATGTTTATTCCATTCACCTGTAGGTGAACACAGGTTGCTTCCATATTTTGGCTATGTAAATATTGCTGCAATGAACACTTCTGTGCATATCTTTTTGAACGAGTGTTTTTGTTTTCTTCAGGTAGATAACCATAAGTGAAATTGCTGGATCACATAATAACTCTATTTTTGCTTTTTGAAGAACCACCACACTGTTTTCCATAGTGACTGCACCAGTTTACAATACCACAAAGAGTGCATATGTGTTCCCTTTTCATACTTCCTCATCAACACTTCTTACTGTCTTTTTGATGATAGCCATTCTGACAGGTGTGAGGTAGGTATCTCATTGGGGTTTTGATTTGCATTTACCTGATGATTAGTGATGGTGAGCATTTTTTTTTTCATGTTTCTATTGGACATCTGTATGTCATCCTTGGAAGAATGTCTATTCAAGTCTTGTGCCCATTAAAAAATGTTTATTTGTATAAGTCCATTATATATTTTGGTTGTTAATCCCTTATAGAACGTATCATTTGCAAATACCTTCTATTCAGTAGGGGGACTTTTTATTTTGTTGATAGTTTCCTTCACTACTTTAAAGCTTCCTACTTTGATATGGTCCCATATCTTTATTTTTGTTTTTGTTTCCCTTGCCAGAAGAGATAGATCCAAAAATATTGTTGCTAAGACCAATGTCAAAGAGCACACTGCCTAGAACTTTTTAGTTAGGAGTTCAGTGGTTTCAGGTCTTACATCGAAGTCTTTAATGTATTTTAAAATTATTTTTGGATATACTGGGAGAAACTATTCCAGTTAGATTATTTTTGCATGTAACTGTTCTATTATATGTTGCATGTAGTTTTCCTAGCACCAGTAACTAAAGAGGCTATTGTTGCCCATTGTATAATCTTTCCTACTTTGTTATAGATTAATTGACCATATAAGTGTGGGTTTATTTTGTTCCATTGATCTATGTGTCTGATTTTGTGTCAGGACCTCACTGTTTTGAATACTGGAGCTTTGTAGTATTGCTTGAAATTAGGGAGCATGATACCTCCATATTTGTTCTTCTTAAAATTGCTTTGGCTATTCAGAAGTTTTGTGTTTCCATACAAATCTTAGAATTACTTGTTGTAGTTCTGTGAGAAATGCCTTTCATATTTTGAAAGGATTGTATTGAATCTGTAGATTGCCTTGGGGAGTATGGTCACCTTAACAATTTTTTTTAATCCATGAGCACAGTATATCTTTTCATTTGTTGGTGTCTTCAGTTCCTTCATCAGTATCATAGTTTTCCAAGTACAAGTCTTTTACCTCTTTGGTTACATTTA